TTTTTTATCTCATTTAAAAGTTCTGACGCTCTAAATGAAAAACCCTTTATAAGGAATATTTAATAAAGCACTTTTCTGCAGAGAAGTGCAGAATGTTTTTATGGTAAAAAGTATCATTTTTTGAAATTTTTGTGTCGTTATTGTAATTACTAATTTAATAAAAAAAAGCAACAAAGTAAATGGGTTTTGGTATAAGCATTACTTCTTGACTATTATTTGATATTTTTTTATTCACATCATGCCTAAAGAACCCAAAAATTTAATCTCCAATCTTATTTATTAAGTCTTATTAAAATTTAATATCAAATTGAAGTATAAAGTACTTTATCGTTCAAGCACACTAAAGTGCATCTATTAATTATTGACATTTAAAATTTAAACTTTAAATTGTATTTTTACTTGAAATTGATTTTAAGAACCAAAAATGAAAAAAGAGCAGGAAATGGAAGTGGTAATGAAAGTGGAAGATAAAGGAGACAAACATTTATGTCGTCGTTGTAAATTTGTTGCGGTACCGTTACGCCCAAGAAAAACCAACGCAATATATCATTAAAAAATTTTATGAGATATACCTACCACTTTAATTTTGCAGGAATATTAAATGGACCTGATATACGACGTTTAATGAAAGATCAAGCATTCAAAAATGCTCTCAAAGTTAAAGAGCTTGTCGCATATGGCAGTGTTAAAGCTGTCATTGAATTTATTTATATCGGGCCTAAAATTGGCGCCAATTCATTGAAAAAATGCTCTCCGTTTTGTAAAGAATTAGCGTTAATATGTCATTTAAAATAGGTAGATTTTCTTTTTTTTTTCATTCTGATAAATTTGCCGAACTGATGAACATGGAGAACGATTTCACCAAGTAACTGCAAATCTAGAGCATTGGTAGATATCTATGGGTATAGCGGAAAGAAGTTGGATTCTTTGCTAGGAGAATTTGCAGCAAAAGATGTACGACGATGATGAGGATTAAGCACAATAATACTATAATCCAATTCGATATTTGATACGATTTAATAAGTTTAAGGTAGAAAAAATCAAAATTATGCAATGCATTAAATTTTGAGGGCTGAATTTGGATAAAAAATACTGAAACTTGTTTACTTTGTTGCCCTTTCAATTTAATAATTACAATAAACGACAAAAAATGTCAAATAATGTTTGTTTTTTTACATAAAATACATTAAAATTTTAGTTTTAGTATTTAAAATGTCATATTGTTAAGATAAATATGATCTATTTGCCGTATACCAATTACTTCAGTACATTCAAGATAAATTAGGGCCAAAACAATTTAATAAATAAATTATTTAAAATAATTAAAATACTAACAAAAAACTTACATTTTGAGGTGATTAAGCAGAGCATTTTATTACGAAATTATTTTAAATCCCAGACGTCCTAGAGAAAAACTAATGACATTTTTGAAATCAGCGGCCCAAAATTAGTTAAACTAAGCTGGAGTACTTTATGTTAGGTAAAAAAGTTTCTAAAACTACCATGGTGTATTTATTTTTACTAAAAAAAATTTTTTTCTAGAATCTCCAGACGATATTGGACGAAAGACGGACACCGTCAATGACGTCGACCCTCCCAAAAACGCTGTCGGCCACTCGATTTTGACCTACTTAATTAAATTTTGATGGTGAAGAACTGGTGTATTTATAAATCATTAAAGTTATTAGTTACGTCGTTGGCTTATAAACTTAACTGTGTGTGTTACAGACACTGTGAATGTTAATTATTAAGTTTTAAAGATATTGTATGTATGTGTTTCAACCTTCATATTTTATACGCTTAAAGATATTTGATCTAAAAATTTTACGGTTTTTTTTTAGATATTTTGGATATACAATTGTTATTGAAGAAGGTTTTACTATAAGTTCTTTTGGTGCCATTTTGTACATTCTTTATATAAATTAAGTACAGGGTGATCCCCTATAACGTCGCCCCCCTTTAACTTTTTTATTTTAAGTGTCCCAAAAAATTTAAAAGTGTGGTTATGTAGGACCTAAAAAATACTTTTTTTCTACGTATAAAAAAAATTGGAAAATTGATCAGTATACAGGGAAAACCAAAAAGTTTATTTTTTTTTCAATGGATCGCCCTATATATGAATCTATTTTTCGATTCCTTGCAAAATTCTGAGCATAATTTATATAACAAACCATATACCTAAATTCAACTGTTTCTGAAATATTCGCATTCGAAATGTTATCATTAAATGTTTTTTTAAACTATTAGAAATCAAGAAGCCTCAGTATCCCAAAATTTTTATTGAAAATAAATTACTATAGTTACATTATGTCAATATGTCTTGTTAAATAAGTAAAAATGGCGTACTCAGACAGGGAAAGACAAACTATTTCAAATTATTATCTTAAAAATAATTTAAATATTTCAGAAACGGTTGAATTTAGGTAAATGGTATGTTATATGAAATATGCTTAGAATTTTACAAGGAATCGAAAAATAAATACATATATAGGGTGATCCATTGAAAAAAAATAAACTTTTTGTTTTTCCCTGTATACTGATCAATTTTCCAATTTTTTTTATACTTAGAAAAAAAGTATTTTTTAGGTCCTACATAACCACACTTTTAAATTTTTTGGGACACTTAAAATAAAAAAGTTAAAGGAGGGCGACATTATAGGGGATCACCCTGTACATGAGAGTTTTTTAAATCGACCTTTAAATCCAGTTTTACATTGTGGCGCAAAAAATAGCCGATCGCAACATAAAAAATAAATTTATATATTGGGTAAATATTACTTTCCTCAGTTTGGAATTAAAATTGAAGCTTGGTTGTGGAGCAAAAAATAAAATTAAAGTAAGTTATAATTTCTTACTTCAATACGTGGATTTATTGCCATTAATAAGGTCTACATTTTATCTTAATTTCAAATCGATACGTTTTTAAATAAAAATGTTATTACAAAATCGAAATTTATCTATTTTTAACACAGACTTGGCCTGAAAACCACAGCGGTCAATGGATGACTTTTTTTTTGAAAAAAATGCACCATTTAGATATAGAAACAAGATTTAAAAAATTTATTCAATTCTCGATTTTTACGCAAAACCATAGTTTAACGCCTTATAAATTTTGCAATTGAGAGTAAATTATTTTAATATAGGATTTTTGGAAAAATGCAACGTTATTTTTTACACCCTAGTGAAATATACATATTAGGGACTTTCGTTTTAAAGAAACATTTATTTTGAAAAGAATTACCCCAATACATACATATATTTACTTACAATCACAATCAACACTACAAGGTCTGTTTTGCGCATACTAAAAATTACAGTTAGGCAACCCACTGCACAGACTTTAACGGCGGCCATTTTTATGTTGTTAAAAATTCTTGTGCTTTGGGTTTGTGCTGTTTATACAGATTATACGTTTAAAACTTTGTTTCTTACAGCGCTTGTAAGCCTCAAATGAGGCCTTTTGTAAAAAATAAACCCTATTCTATCAGGGCTGTCATTAAGCTGTCAAATTTCAATTTTAAGGTTAATTTGTGGTATATGACAGCGAAACAATTTTGCGCCACTCTGTACAAACCGTGATTTAATGGTGTTGAAAGATTTATAAAGTGTAGTTTATAATCTAACTAATATATTAGTTTTTGTTATTTATTGAAAAATGTATAGCGCAGAAGACAATTACGAAAAGATTGCGATGACAGTCCGAATTTTATAAATGGTAAAGTAAATCTGTCAAATTTTTTGGAAATAATGTACCATAGCCAATTTTGAGAATGAATCGAAAGTCTTAAAAAGTTTTTGGATTTTTATCTTTTCGAAAAATTATCACAAAAAAACTGTAAACTTTTTTTCTACGTTAGACCGTTTCAGAATTGAAATGAAATCAAAAAACGATTCAAGCTAAAAAATTACTCTGGTAATTTCTTTCGAAAACAATATTTTTTCGACAGATTTACTGTGCTAAAATATTTGCCTGTACATAAAATTTTTATAGCTGTGACAAAATCAATTATGAAATTGTATATTAAACATATTTTTCTTAGAAAGTAAATAATCAAACATACGAAAGGACTTACCTACTTGTCATTAAATAAAAAATTATTTAAAATTATTATTATATTTTAACAGTTTTTGTAATCCTACTGCCTCAGATTTCATCATATTACATTTTTTTTACAAAACTAAGTACTGCAATATAAAATGTGATTTAATTTAACAAATCCTTGCCCACTTGCGCACATTTATTTTAGTTAATAATTATTATGTATAGAAATTTGTATACTTATGATATGTGGGTATGTACATATTAAAATATTATATTTATTTTAATTTTTTATCACCTACATAGGAAACGTATGATTGTTGGATAGCCGTCCAATAAAACAATTTTTATGACAAAAGTTCTCGAATTTTATATGAAATGCTGTCATAAATTTAGGAAACTTATTAAGATATCGAATATCGAATAAACAGTGGCACATAATGAAAATTAATGTTTATCAGTTTTTTATATTAAATTATATTAATTCATTTTAATTTTTGATTGTGAGTGAAACTGTTTATTACCATTGTAAATATGTAAATATTCTGCTCAATATGTCATTAATGTCTTAATAGTATATTGCATATAATTTGGCCAATTTTTATACTTTTAAACGTTTGATTTATTATCATTCATTAATGTATATTGACAATAAGATTGAGTAAATTTATTTGTCTTATTTAATTTTTTTTAAATATACCTAATGTAAAAAATTTTGAAGTGGCCTTGTCTAACTTAAGTATATTTATTTGAAATGTTAATAGTCTTAGTAGATTTTTTAATGTACATATTATGTGTTATATCATGTGTAACTAATACCTTGTCTTAAAATAAATTAACATACTCATAACAAGTTTCGTTTTCTTAAATAGGCCTTGAAACTTCATAATGTATTCTTATAAGTAACAATTGATTCAATAGATACCACATCAAAAAAAAGTAGAATTAACTTCAATATTTTATTTGGAAAAATTAATTATATGTAAGTATGTTTATGGCAACTTGATAGTAGCAACTGGTGGTCTAAAGTTGTTACAAGTTGGAAACTTTGGTGGTACAGGCGGCAAGTCGCTATTAGTGCCAACCTGCAAAATCAAATTCATACCAACCGTAATATGATACAGGAAGTGACAATGCAAAAACCAAAATCCCGGATTGTCAGCTTTGAATCTAATGATAATGTAACCATTTTCCGGTACGACCAGCGTGTCTTTACCAGGTGGGTTGTTTTCGTAGGCCCTTTTTAGTAAACCTTTTCTATCCATTTCTATAGCTGCTTTCAAACTTATGGGTCTTTCTTGTGGCAAGCGCTCACTTCCCAGAACGTAGAAAAAGTAACCATGTAAGTGAAAGGGATGGCTTAGGTTTGTAACTTGAGCTAAAAAGGAGACATTTGGAAATTAGATATCTGGAGATTGTGTAGCGATGAAGCAGATATACAAAGTTTTAAAGAGATTACCTTCATCAACAAGAATCACTTCCACAATTTCGCCGTTTTTGATGTCAATTTTGTGAACGCAAGAACAAAAATCAGTACATTGTGATGGATCTATGTTATTCCCATCGCAGAAAGTTTTTGGATCATTATCACCGTACTGACTTGTGAGAGGTGCACTGGGAAACTCATAGGAAATATTGTCAATTAGACTAGTCACATGCAATCCATCAAAAGTAGCTAGAATAATCATTAAATCAAATGTTTACCGGTTAAACTTTGTTATAAAGTTGTATTTACATATAAACGCCTTGTATTCGTTTGGTTTAAACAATTCCTCCATGGTATGTAAATAGAATTTATATGGGAGATATATTGTTTTATCGGCATATTGTTTAAACATATCTGGAGGACGTTTTAAACCCGTAAGGTCGCTGACACACAAACTACCATTTCTTTTCCCATTGCAAACTCCATCCAGAGGATTCAAAATCTATAAATATTTACTTCAGTTTTTGTCAACCAAATAACGCATGTTTACAAAATGTTTGGACAGAAAATGGACTAGATATATAAGCCTTTTGATGTACTACTTAATCCAAAAACAACATTCCTCGGGTGAAGAGATATTAAAACAGTTTTAACAGAAGTTTTGTAAAGAATTATTTCGTTATTCTAAATTTGGGTTAGAATTCTTTTAAAACTCAACGCGATGGAGCCATGCTCAGCTATTAACCTTACCATTCCTAGCGGTAAAGGATTATCGTATTGAGGAGGTTGTGAAGAAGGACTTTCCGGACCATCCACGTATTTTAAGATGGCCAATTGTTGTATTTTATATACGCTACACTCTCCTAGACCTTTGACTTGGATCCAGTAGGTTCCAACGGACATATTTGCGTTTAATATAAAATCATACCGCTCCCCTAGAAATAAGACATAAGAAACATAATCTTAATTATTATGATTAACATTACCAGCATTTGATATAAGAGTTTGGACAGGAGTTGGTTTAACAGCATTTCCATCAGTCGCAATAATAGTCATAACATGTCCCTCAATACTAACTTGTGCAGGACAAATGGAGCAAAAAGCGTTGATCATCCTAAATCTATACCTCTTTCCTTTAGTCACAGTGAAAACCTCCAACGGCGTTACGGTCTCTTCCCCACTATCAGGATATATAAACCTCCCTTTACCATTAACCAAAATACTGTCTGGATTTTGCCCTTGACCCGCTATGAGTCTACCAGGAAACTTTTCATTGGTTCCCTCGTGAAACCAATCAGAAATCAGCATTACGTGTTCAGGTAAATCTTCGTCGTAAAGTTTGCTATGTGGGTCTCTTTTAGGTGATTGTCTTACAATTAAACTGCCATAGAGACCATCCATTTTTTGTAGTCCTGTGTGGGCGTGCCAAAAATGGGTTCCGACTGGGTCGGCCAAAAATGCATATCTATAAAAAATGTTTTGTATGTTGTGTATATGCTTGCAAAAATTTTAAAATATGTGCCATTCAAAAAAGTGATTACTTCTTTCTTATTCATATAATAAATATAATGATGTTTCAATCAATTAAAATTAAGTAATTACTGGAATTTGTTCTAAATTTTCTTTTACCTAAAAGTGCTTCCTTGTGGGATAGCACATTGAGTTACCATCGGCACTCCATCATAATACTGGGTGTTACGTTGATGAATGCCATGCCAATGGATGGTGACTTCCGCTCCTTCCATCTTATTTAAAACGTCCACTACAATGTTGTCATTCTCGCAAACTTGTATACTTGGACCTGGCAACATCCTGTTTACAGACAACAAAGTTCTTTCGAAGCCATCTGCTAAAATACATTGGCATGATGGTGTTATTTGATTGGTTGAATTGGGAGTGCATACTTCACAGGCTCTGTAAAATAATTATTAGCTTTATGTTTTAGGATGGATTACCCACAAACTTCGCCATTTTAAATGGGAATAATTAACAAGTAAAAACTGATCCTTATCGAAACTGACTTTTACTAGAAACAATAATCCCAATTTAAAATCTTGAAGGACTTGTGCATAGAATGCTTTTGTTTACCCTCCAAGGATGCTATAGAATTCTAGAGTGAATTTGTAGTGACAAGTTTTCGGTGGTTCCCCATCTTTGCAGTTTCTTAAACATTCTTCAGGCGTGGATAATTTTGGGCTATTGTTTTTGCCACGGATATCAGGAACGTCATGAAAATTGGAATTGATATTTTTTTTAACGACTGAAAATAAATAAACAATTTAAAATTGTTTTTGTTTTGGTTAAACGTATTGCACTAGAAAGTTATGAAAAATATGTTTTGAAATATTAAATGATATAAGATAAGATATAATTGAAACAAGCAACCTTAAAAAATGCTATAGTTTATATTTATACAACTTAAAATTAACTCAATTGATGATTTTACTCAATAATACTAATACTCTACTAATCTCGGGGCATTTATGCAAAATTTTAATAATTTACTTGACAATCAGTACCTTCTTTAGGTATTTCCCCTACACAAGTTGCCTTATACAGCGTTGCCAGACCTTCTATATATATTCTATATTTTTTTAATTATTAGGTATATACCTACTTACTATTATAATTGTCATCCACTTGCACAGAGAAAACACTATCCAAAACCAATAATAATGCCAGGCAACCCCGTTGCAATTCCATATTCATTTTACAATAATAACAATTTTGGCAATGATATATATTAATTTTTATTTTCTTATCTTGTATTTTTATGTTTAAATATAATATACTTGTAAACAATTACAATTTTTTGATAGTTTTTAAGGAATAAAATAAGTTATTTCAAAATGTAACTATACTTCTATAGAAGTCGAAAATTTTGCAGGTACATTATAATGCTTTGTTTTAAATATACCTACTAGCCAAAATTATTATTTTACATTATAAGTTAAAATAATGCAAACTCCACTTTTATTATTTGAAAAAATGAATACAATTAAGATAATTAACATTTTAGTTATCATCATTTTTAGACCTACTTTTATTTAATATGCACAGGTAGGTCTACAAGTACCTAGGTAATCCATTTTTTTAAGTTTGTTAAAAGCATTTCACGTGCATGTTTTTATTTTGTTAATGTTTTAAAATAACTGAGAAGCAGAATTAAAAACCCAAAACAATTTAAATTAATTTAAATAAATATATATCAATTATTCATTTATTGTAGATAATGATTTGGGTCTAACTGTATCATCTTCTAAAAAACGGTATAAATAAACAAAATATTACATCTAAACCTAAAAATAAGGTAAGTAATCACCAAATTTAGAAAAATGATTTGGAACACGCGGCATATCTATCGGATTATCAACCTGCAAAACCGCAGACATTCCAGATGCAGTATGATATAAAAAATGACAATGTAAAAATCAAAATCCTGGGTTATCCGCTATAAATCTGAGTATTGCCTATCCATTGGTGAGTACTGTGAGGGTATATTTTGATGGAGGATCATTGTAAAGCCTGGGAAGTCGCCCTTTTCTATCCAAGTCGATGGCGTAAGTCGCATTAATGGATATGACGTAGGATCTGGTGGGGTACCCATACCCATCACTTGGAAATGCTGTCCATGTAAATGGAAAGGATGGCTTAGGTTCGGAATTTGAACTAAAAAAAAATTTACTAGTTGGCAAAAAAGTAACTATGACATTGTTTACTTTCATCCACCAAAATGAGTTCGACCAAAGCGTTCAAAGGTATCAAAATGCGATGTGTGCAAAAGCAAGGGTCTCCACAAGAAGCTTGATCACGATCGCAAAACACAGATTGATTGATGTCGGTCATTTGGGAATATAAAGGTAAAGGTGGCGTGGAAAAGGAAATATCGTTTATTAAAGGGATGGTTTGAAAGCTACCCAAAGGATCTGAAAAATAAAAAAAAAGTTATATTAGATCTTCTTCTCTATTACTAAAAATATAAAACTCACTTAAGAAAGTCTGGTAGGTATAGGGAGTAAACAATTTTTCCTTATTGTACTGTTGAAACCGATATGGAAAATATAGTTTTAGATCTGCTTCTTGTTTACGCATTCTTTTAGGTAGTTTAACTGCCCTTTTTAATTGACTTACACATATTTCATTTTCCAAGGTGCAATTTGAGTTCAATGGATTCAATACCTTCAACGTAGGTTTTATTGTGATAATAACATAATGTTTTTAGTAGTAACTTACAATTCCTGTTGGAGGATTATCATCAAAACTGGGTGGTAAACTTACTGAAGGAGGGCCTTCATATCTCAAAATAGCCAACTGCTGAAGTTCAAGGAGTTCGCAACCTGCCAGACCTATTAATCGAATCCAGTAACTACCAATAGTTTGATTGGTACTGATAACAATGTCGTACCTTTCCCCTAGAAACCTATATAATCCAATATCATGTAATGATTCTTGAAAACTGACCTGAGAATCCAACAATGCTGTTAAAAACTGTTGGTCTAACAGCAACTCCATCAGATGCTATAACAGTTAAGTTGTGCCCTTCAATGAAAAATTGTACAGGGCAGCCAAGACAAAGACCAAATATTAACCGAAATCTATAAGTTTTATGATGTATGATGCTAAACCTTTCCAGAGGAGCTTGAATTGAAGCGATTGAACCATTAAATCTGCCTTTTCCATTTATCAAAAAATTGTCTGGGAGTTGGTTGGTGTCTCTTCTCGATCTTCCAGGAAACCTTTAAATCATATTAGAATTTATTTGCTTAGGAGCAATTTTGTTTATTCACCTTTTATTCCCCAATTCATGCATCCAATCACTTATAAAAATAATATGCTCTGGAAGATCAAAGTCATACCACTGTCCACTAGCATCTTCTGAAACAGCTTGTCTTACTATAAGACTGCCTTGAACACCGTCAAGTTTGGAAAGTGCAACATGAGAATGCCAAAAGTGGGTACCTGAAGGATTTGCCTTAAAAATATACCTACAAGATGTTGAGAATAAAACTTAATGAACAAAATTGATAATATACTCCACCTAAATGTATTTACTTCGTGAATTGGACACTGCGTCACATACGGAACACCATCGTTGGACTGCGTACCCTGTTGGTACATACCATGCCAGTGTATCGTCACATCTTGTCCAACGATTTGATTTGTAACGTCCACGATAATCGTATCGTTCCCGCAAACTTAAATGCTGGGTCCTGGGTACATTGTATTGACAGATATGATCATTCGGTCCACTCCATAGGCCAAAACGCATTTACAATTAGGAAATAGTTAGTTTTATAATTTGTTATCGTTAATGGTAATTTTGACATATTTGACTGGTACCTATTAGTAGTACTTTTTGACCTAAAAGGGGACATTCTTTAAACCTGAACTAAACATTCTAAAACTTTGTGGTAGGTAAATTTTTATTTGATGTTCTAAAACAAGTACATAGTGTCAATATTACTTCTATGGCAACTTGATTGTAGCAACTGGTGGTTTGAAGTTATTACATCTTGGAAACTTCGGCGGTACAGGCGGCAAGTCGCGATTAGTACCGACCTGCAAAATCACATTCATACCAACCGAAATATGATACAAAAAGTGACAATGCAAAAACCAAAATCCCGGATTATCAGCCTTGAATCTCAAGATAATGTAACCATTTTCCGGCACGACTAGAGTATCCTTACCAGGTGGGTTGTTTTTGTACGCCCTTTTTAGTAAGCCTTTTTTATCCATTTCAATTGCTGCTTTTAAACTTATGGGCGTTTCCTTTGGTAAGCGCTCAGTTCCCAGAACGTGGAAAGAGTAGCCATGTAAGTGAAATGGATGGCTTAGGTTTACATTTTGAACTAAAAAGAAGACAAGTAAAGGGCTTATTGTTAGTGTATATCAAAAAACTATGAATTATCCATACATCTAATGATTTATTTTCATGACATTTTTGGGAATTAGATATCTGGAGAGGGTATAGCGATGAAGCAGATATACAAAATTTTAAAGAGATTACCTTCATCAACAAGAATCACTTCCACAATTTCGCCGTTTTTGATATCAACTTTGTGAACGCAAGAACAAAAGTCAGTACATTGTGATGGATCTATGTTATTCCCATCGCAGAAAGTTTTTGGATCGTTATCACCGTACTGACTTGTAAGAGGTGAAGTGGGAAACTCGTAGGAGATATTATCGATTAGACTAGTCACATGGAATCCATCGCCAGCAGCTAAAATAATCATTAAATGTTTACCAGTTTAACTTTGTTATAAATGTATTTACCCAAAAACGCTTTATATTCTTTTGGTTTAAACAGTTCCTCCATGGTATGTATATAGAATTTATATGGGAGATATATTCTCCTATCAGCATGTTGTTTAAATAATTCTCGATGACATTTTAAACCAGTAAGTTCGCTGACACACAAACTCCCATCCCTTTTCCCATCGCAAATTCCATACAGAGGATTTAAAACCTACGAATATTTATATTAGTTTTTGTCAACAAAAGAATGCAGGTTTCCAAAATGTTTGAACAGGAACCGGACAATATATATAAGGCCTTCGATTTACTACTTTAATCCAAATTTAACATCTTTCGGAAGCAAAGATATTAAAACAATTTTAATAGAAGTGTTGTAAAAAATTATTTCGTTATTCTAAATTTGGGTTAGATTTCTTCAAAAACTCGACGCGATGGAGCCATGCTCAGCTATTAACCTTACCATTCCTAGCGGTAAAGGATTGTCGTATTGAGGAGGTTGTGAAGAAGGACTATCCGAACCATTCACGTATTTTAAGATGGCCAATTGTTGTATTCTTTCCACGCCACACTCTCCTAGACCTTTGACTTGGATCCAGTAGGTTCCAACGGACATATTTGCGTTTAATATAAAATCATACCGTTCCCCTAGAAATAAGACATAAGAAACATAATCTTAATTATTATGATTAACATTACCAGCATTTGATATAAGAGTTTGGACAGGAGTGGGTTTAACAGCCTCTCCATCAGTCGCAATAATAGTCATAACATGTCCTTCAATACTAACCTGTCCAGGACAAACGGAGCAAAAAGCGTTGATCATCCTAAACCTATACCTCTTTCCTTTAGTCACAGTGAAAACCTCCAACGGTGTTACGGTCTCTTCCCCACTATCAGGATATTTAAACCTCCCTTTACCATTAACTAAAATACTGGCGGGATTTTGCCCTTGACCTGATAAAAGTCTACCTGGAAACCTTTCGTTGGTTCCCTCGTGGAACCAATCAGAAATCAGCATTACGTGTTCAGGTAAATCTTCGTCGTAAAGTTTTCTATGTGGGTCTCTTTTAGGTGATTGTCTTACAATTAAACTACCATAAAGCCCATCCATTTTTTGAAGTCCTGTGTGGGAATGCCAAAAATGGGTTCCGACTGGGTCGGCCAAAAATGCATATCTATAAAAAAGGTTTTGTATGTTGTGTATATGCTTGCAAAAATTTTAAAATATGTGCAATTCAAAAAAGTGATTACTTCTTTCTTATTCACATAATAAATATAATGATGTTTTAATGAATAATAATAATACTTAAGGAATTACTGGAATTTCGTTTAAATTTTCTTTTACCTAAAAGTGTTTCCTTGAGATATAGCACATTGAGTAACCATCGGCACTCCATCATAATACTGGGTGTTACGTTGATGAATGCCATGCCAATGGATGGCGACTTCCGCTCCTTCCATCTTATTTAAAACATCCACAACAATGTTGTCATTCTCGCAAACTTGTATATATACTTGGACCTGGCAACATCCTGTTTACAGACAA